CCCGAACCGATAGAGATTTATGAATTGTAAATTTTAATCATACGTTAACATTTCGCTGCTCAATCTGAGTGTGAATGAACGGTTCGTGTGGTTAAGTGAACTGTAGCTAATGCAAATTGACACCATTGTCGTCACTAAGCTTCTCATAATCATATTCTATTCGGTATTAATTCGTTGAATAATTTATGTATATCATTTGTAGAGATCATAGATCTATGTTTAAAGAACAGGTACCAATAGAAGAGAAAGATGTAACCATCTGCAAGTTATCTTGTAAAAATTGTTTAACAAACTCAAAAATTCTCTCAAAAAACTCAAAAAAAATATTAAACGTGTCTTCTATACATATGATAAAATTGAAGTGTAAGTATGGATAACGAGAATCGCATTAACAAAATTTTTGTCTGTCTTTCTGTCTGTCCGCAAACTGGGTTTGTTCCAGGTAATCATCGAAACAGCTGGGCCGATTTTGACCAGACTTTCACTGAAGGGTAGCTGACATAGACGAGCTAGTATAGACTACTTTTTCGACAAAGTCGCAGGCAACAGTTATTAGGAAATAATTTGGTACATTTATTGTAGTTGTACATTCATAATTAGTTGTTCTGCCTTGCGTTTATTTTAAACTATCGATAATAAGCTAGGGACATCACTACCTATCTGGTTTGCAGCAAAAGAGAGTGATTTAGCGTTTTACTGCAGTAACCGCAGAGTTATCATGCCAAAAACTAAACAAACCAACGAGTAGCCAACAATACAAACTAGTTTGTTGCATTTTGTTGGCACTAAGATTTTTTATTTTTCAGAACTCATTGTTAGATAAATTATTTCAAATTGAACCTATTTTTCCGGTTGTAAGTAAATCGTTTAACTAGTTGGTGTATTTACTAACTTTTGCCCGCGACTTCGCCCGTGAAGTACTTAAAAAATCCTTAACACGCTTATTTGTTTTTTCAGACAATTATTCCAAATTTCATCCTGATCCGTTTAGCCTTTTTTAGTTAAAATAGAGAGCGTTTTAACTTCAAAGCGCGTTTTTTTCTTTTTTCATGTAATTAAAAAAAGTCTTTCACACGGTGAACTCGTTGAGTTTACTGCAATGGCGCAGAGTGGGGGGAGGCTCGGGAGGACGCACTTACCCCCCAAGGGCTTGCGCTCAACCTGGAAATGAAAATACACGCTTCGTTTCACATTTTTCAACACAAAACAGGCTATTAACTTTATTTTACACATTTCCTAGTTTGTAGTGGATAGTTTACGCTGCGTAAAATACTACTTTTTTACGTGGGGAAATGCCTACGCATGTTCCGACTCATTGGGACCTAGAGTCGGAATATGTCGTAAAATACTACTAGTAAGTCTATATGAATTTACAGTGTTTCTTGCGTTATAAATATTTAAACCGCGTAAGACTTGGAAACAAAGGAGCTTTTGATTTTTACCGCATCAGTGCCAAAGAGCGTCATCAACGTGAATGCAAAACATAAAGTCAAGGCCTCACATCTTTAGCAATGTCGCCGAAGCTTGTAGTTAAGTACACGTTCGATACACGATATCTTAACCAGTTACTAATTGTATACTGCTTTATCTTCCGTGTTCGGATAAAATATGTCACGAGAATATTGTAATAGTTACGCAGATTTGAAAACAATATATAACTTATTGCCACCATTATCTTTGGTTTCAGATTTTTTTTAAATACTCTCTGTGGTCTACAACTTCAATTCACATATCTGTTTATCTATCTATACTTCGATACTAGTAGTAATACTAATCTATACTGGTATAAAGCGTAAACTTACACAATACTTCGTGGCGTAGGATGTCATTAATCACAGCATATTTTTGAATAATTTTTTCATTAATAAAAAGCCCTACACTTACAACACGCTTTAGCCTATAAATTTTCACGTTATTTAACTTAGGGGTTAAGTAAATTGGAGAAAAACCGTCATGTGGGAAAGAGACCATAAACTATATGCTGCCAACACTAAAGAAGCAACGTTATTATGGTAATGTTGACATTTCGAATTGAGAATTCGAAAATTTTTAAATTTTAAAATTCGAAAAAAAAAATTCCTGCGGATAAAACTGCACGGGAACAGCCTATCAAATAAATTATTTTGCTGCTTTTTTAAACGCGACAAAAGAAGTAAATGAATGTCTTAGAATAACTACAATACTAAACACTTTTAGAGTCCTAGCAGCGTGAAAACTATAACATAAAACCTATAACACGTCCATGGTTCATTGAGTCGAGTCCACTCGATACATAGTGTCGAGTATCGCGTGGGTTCAGGTTACGCGGCATCTTTCTCCGCTACTTGTCTGCTATTTGTGGAATTCGTTGCATTTGCATTTACCGCGTCGGTTTTAACTAACGAGACATTTGTACAAAAACATTGTTATCCTTATTGTCTTAGAAAAAACTGAGATAACAAGCCTTTTTTGAGATTAAGTTCTAGTTTTAATACCAGACAGAACGCATTTTCTTCCAGACTCATATTAAAAAAGTGTTTTTCTTTAATTCAAGTAACACGCCTTTAAAATATCGATGTTAACGTTAAATATAGCGTAATTTTAGTACTAAATTTTATTACGGTCTGGTTTTTGTTCAAAAACCCCGAGCGCTGACGTTGATAAAATATTTATTTTTTAATTTATCATTGCATGCAAGTCAATGACATACAGGCCTTTGTCATGTAATGTGTCAGAGATTGAGCCTAAAACAAAAACTAAACATACACAGACATTTTTTTTATTTTCATTCTCGAGTAATTTGTAAATGAATCCTAACTTATAATTAAGAATTTTTGACGATTTCGTATTAGCATTTAACCCACAGATCTGCCAGACACGAGCAAAAAAAAAAACAAATTGTATTCTATTGAATATGCGACGGCGCGCTCCTCAGAGGTCGAGAACCTCGTCGACAATGGCTCGAGATGGTTTCACGATTTAATCGCAGTTTAAAATCCCATGTTGCCTATGTCATTAATTCAAAACAAAGGATATTTATAAGGTTAGAATCTTTTTCCCGTCTTAGTAAACTTATTTTACTTTCAGTCTAATAATCATTTATAGGCATTCCGGTTAATTTCACAGATTAAAAATGTAAATAACATTGCTTACTAAAATTTTTATTTTTGGTGTACTAATTAAAACAAAACATGCGAAAAAAAACTAAAAAATAATTGACATGAAAAGTTTTTGCGAGCTCGCATATGCGTCAAACAATCATAAATATAGTACTGCCCTTGAATTGTCAAAAAAGCAAATAGCAACGACCTCGACACAGTGAGGCCACTAGCGGCTTACTATTCAACCGGCAGGTTAGATTAGGGCAGTTTTATAATGCATAGTGCGCGTTTTATGAATACGTTATTAAAATATTATATGGAACTAGAATCGACCGGCCATGGCTCGATACGGTGACGTCATATCATCTGGGCCCCCGGTTTGAGGTCAGATAGAGTGAGCGTCGACGCCGACCCACAAATCTACAGACACAATAAATTCGGCAACGTTCGGCGCGAAACCGCTCGGGGTCAATGAACCGTTGATGTATTTAAAATACGCACTAAGTGCCTTATCGCGAATGTAGTACGGCGCGCGGCGGCGCGGGCGCGCTCCGCTACGTATGTTGCAAAAATGGATATTTATAGCTGTGTCCGTGACGGATGATTCTTGCTATTTCTAAGGTCCTTATGTGCGTCGATCGGTACGAATTCTTCGAATTCTATAAACCATGCGATACTGATTACCTAATTATCGCGTTAAAGAGTTTTAATTCGAAAATTGAAACTATTTGGATTGTCAATGGCCATAAAGATATTTATGATTAAAACTGTCAAAAATAATAGTGTTGTACTAGTTTACACTTTTTTACGATTTATTTCAAACGTTATTGACAATTAATATTTGGTTGTAAATTTCTTAGCATTAATTTTTTTCGTAAACGATGTTTTAAATTTTTAATCGCGGGCACCGGAAGCATGGCGAGAGTTCGTTTTACATCGTGTGCTTTATAGCTATCGATATCAGAAAATATGAGAAAGGAAATTTGTCTGTTGAGCCGCTTCACACGCCGCGGCGCACTGCACTCGGCCTCTTTGTGCAGCAAGATTATGGTCGGGACATAAAGCGATTTTAGACACGACTCGAGGCTCGTGTAAGATTCATATTCGCGGTGAAAGGGTCGCTTTGGAACCTTGTCCACACAAAGCGCGGCACCGCGGTAGCCGCTCCACCTATCTACCCACATATGCATCACGCGGCGGATACGGGCCGAGTTTCTTACGCATACATGCGAACTACGAAGGCCAGTTTTGTGTTTGTGTCGCGAATACATACGGCTTCAATAATCAGCAGGTGAAGCGAACTAAAGTAAGGGGTTATTGCGATTAACTCTTTTATCCCTTCGTTTCCATATCAAAGAGTAATGAACCTTGTTCTCTACTTATTGGACGATGTCGATTGGCAACCGTGTGATCATTTTAGAATCCCAGTTTTGCGATTTTTGAAATACTTTTTACCGAGTTACCTACTATTCTTTTTTTAATACTAACTACATGTTTTTTTTATATAATACAGATTATTCAGATTTGCAAACTTATTAGTCTCCAAAAGTCTAATACTCATTCATAGAGGTGTTCCAATTAGATAACAATAGATAAGAAAAACAATTGTTTGGCGGTGATATGTATATTTGAATTGATTAGAGTCTCGATGTATAATTTCAATAGATTTAATTACGGTGTAATGCTTTAATAAATTTCTCACATTTAAAAAGTTTAATTGTTGCAACAAAGAGTGGGACTGACAGTGAATCGATTACGAGTAACGAAGGTCAGCGAGCGGTGTGCGAGTGTGCGAGTGTGCGTGCGTATGCAGTTGCAAGCGGGCGAGCTCGGTGCGGCGTCGCCGGTGCTGCACGCCTGCACCGCCGGTTGCAACACCCTCCCCCCCTCGCGCTCGGCTTCTCGCTCGCCGCCGTCTTGCTAGCCTGTCTCACCTCGCGGCCGGCAGCCTTGCGCGACGCGCCGCGCTCTTTCACATTCAAAATTATTCGCAACCATTGCAAAAACTCTCTGTGCAATAAAATATATTATCATTCGCTGCGGCCGCAATAAGTCTTTGCACGGAGAGGATTTTTAAACTTATATACAAATTTAAGTGCCTTTGAAAGTTTGAATGCACTCCTCGTTGCATCGAGTCCCGCGCGCGTCGTTATGAGAACCCCGTACTGGCGGTCACGTTGACGTCGCGCGGTGCCGCCATATCTGTCTCGGCCACCAAGTAGCAAAATTAATAGGTAATTATTTTCGTGTACAGTGCCTAAGGTTCATTTTATTGTTCAGTGATTATGTGTTACAGTGTTTTCTGTCTGTAGTTTGGCTCTGTGCTCATTCCAATTGGATTCTTTTTGGAAATTAAGGTGCGCGCCGGCCGGTTCTTATCGGGTGCAATGCAGTTGCACTCTCAACTTATTGCAGTTTCGCATTCGGCAAAGTTTCATGCGCGGAATGTTACTAGTGTCTGTTTTACTGTACAGATGGATTGTAAAAGTGTTTTAAAAGTGAATTATTTTTAAAAAGTGGCATGTGTTATAGTTTGTTAAGAACTTCACAGTGTACTCTGTGTTATTTCGGTCATTGACCGCCGGATTTCGCATCTCTTATTTTGTTAGTGCCGCTTTTATTTCATACATTGGGAATAATTTCGATTTCCGTTTTTTTAGGGTCTAAATTTCTTTCACATCACTAGAAGAATGAAATAGCCCGCGCATTCGCTTTTTGAAATTTTACCTTCACCCGGATGGAATGAGGAGTGCACAGACCTATTGTTTCACAGTTTCATATGTTTGAACATCATTTGTTTTTTTGTTTTTCGGACGATTAGAGAGTTGTCATTTTCTTCCAAAATTACAAAAATTACAAAATAAGGTAATTATTATTTTATTTCCTTCGTTATGTAGTGCATAATAATTTTCGAGTTATCACTGCATAAAAAGCAACAATTGGCAGCGCTCTCACGCGTGGCTTTCGATATTGCAATGTATGACATCATCTTTAGGCGAGTATGGGAGGAGGATTTCAGAAATCACTAGTAAAAAAGTTTATTTAGAAGTTAAAAATGTGGTGTATAGAGCCACAATCAGTGCAGTGTGTGTAGCAATGTTTTATAACTGTCCAGAATGGCGGAGGGTAATGGAGAGATATCGGTTGAAGAGGTCCCCGGGAAGGACTCCGACGTTGGCCGTACACCAGACTACCGCAAACTCATAGAATATGGCTTGGACCCAAAGGTAAGGCAGTTAACAAATATTATAAGGCATGCAGCCAATCTTGTTTACTAACCAAGTTCATATTGAATATAATTTGTTAAAACATCTTGCTTTCGGTCACTCATCGCTGAAAACTTATACTTACTTTTATCTCTAATATTTTATTATCTGTTGTGCAAATATTTCTTTTATATACTTTATCACTTTACTTACCTTTTTATGAGTTAATTTATTTTTATAAGTTTAAAACCTGATATTTTAGCATGTTTAGTCCGGGCTACTTGATAATAGTATAGAAGTGGTAAAGTCTGGTATTGAAGACAATGGGACATTATTCAGTATCAGGACATAATTGGGGCCAATTGCTGTTAACCTTAGAATTATCAGTGTTTCATGAAAGTTTTACTGTCTTATTGGAATCTAAATAGTAATAATGGGGACTTTTCTCAATTCATATAAGATTCTTGTTGGTTTTTTAATTCTTGGAAATAGTTTTTTTTAATTTTATTAAATTAGATGACAACACAATAAGATTTAATTTTATCACAACACATGGTTTTTAATCATATGTCCTTTTGTAACAATGTTGCCATATAAAATTATTGCAAAAAATGTACTGCAGTATTGTTGATTTATTTAAGATAAGTTAATCATTTTGTCATATGATACTGATTGTATATATTTGTTTAATTGCATTTTCTCAACATTCTGATTATGCATTGGCCTCTGATCTCTTATCTATATACCTTTATTGGACACTGGCCACTAAATGTAATCTCTGTTGCCATAAACAATATTGTTTATACCTCTTATGTACTAGTTATTTAATATTCTACCCAAGTAATATTGTATCTAGTAATATTCATATGGTTAATTAGTATGAAGTTTTCCTTATACATTTTAAACATGTACTTTATATACTTAATTATTAATATATCTATATACTACTTAAAAACAACAAAAGCAGTCTGATTTTTTATTGTCTTTTCTAAATGAATGATGTTTACTTTAACGAAATGGCAACATTATTCAATATCTGTGCTAAATGTGTCAAATTGATTTTTAATTTGTTGCCATATGCAAATATTCAGAAAAATAGTTAAGGTTTATTTACGAAAGTTTTTTTAAGGCGATGCCGGTTTTTTTAGTTTTTTTATTGTTTTTGCTATTGATACACCAGACTAACAAGAACTAGACAAGTTACTAGGTGTTTAATTCGTAAGTTTTTTCCGAATGTTGTCGCGTGTGTTAGGAGGTGGTTTGTTTATTTAAAAGTGATTTGAATTTGCAGGTGGCCGGCAAGCTAGACGACATTTATAAGACTGGAAAGCTAGCGCACATCGAGTTGGACGAGCGTGCGCTGGACGCCTTAAAAGAATTTCCATCCGACGGTGCTTTAAGTGTTCTTGGACAATTTTTAGATTCAAATCTTGAACATGTATCGAATAAGAGTGCTTATTTATGTGGGGTTATGAAGACTTATAGGTGAGTTATTAATTTTTTTATGCTTTAAATGTGTTTTTTAAAATGTTGGATGTCTTTCAAACGGTCCACTAGGACAGTTAAATTTTTAACTTATCTTGTAATATGAACCAAAAAGATATCGCGTTTTATGTAACTGACGCCATCTGGCGATTCGCGGCAGAGTTTGCAACTCGTTTGCGATGTATCGCGTCGTGCGAAATATTCTCTATATTGATTCAAGGTTTACTTTATTTTCCGATTGAAGTGCATAAAGTGTGCACAGAATATATTAATCAAGTATATGTGTGCATTTTTTTTATTGTACGATTGGCGTAAACTCTGAAATTAAATCGATTAGGAGGAAAATCTATACAATTAATAAAATTGTATGTTTGTAAAATTGTAGACTTGGGAAAGATGTATTTGCTTTACTGATAACTAAAATCGACTTTTTTTGTCTGTCTGTCCGCAAGCCGCGTTTATTTCGGGTAATCTCCGAATGGACCGATTTCGACGGGACTTCCACTGAAGGGTAGCCGGGCATATTATAGGCTATATGTTATAGGCTTATCTAAATATTGCTTAGACGAAGTAGGGGGCAACATCGAGTTTTAAATAAGTGTGAAGTCCAATAAAATAGTTCTTTGTAGTCCAAATAATTCGTTGTCACGCGTTAAGTGCGATAAAGTTAGTAAATATTTTTTATTATTATAGTTCTCACGACCTTCTTAAGATTAAAATTCACATGAAACAGCAACAAAGAGATAAAAAATCAACAACTTATAAAAAAGTTGATATTTCGATTTATTCGAAAAGCGCGCGCTTTTATAATTGCGTCGTAAGTATAGTCACGTTAATTGGCGGTATTCAATAATAAAACCAATCCTATGAACTTTAATGCATTGAAATGAGTTCAATAAATGTTTTTATTAGAAAAAAATATCGATATTTTTGTAAATAGAGGCTAACATTAAACATTTAAAGGCGCGGTACAAGGTTTTTTTTATCTATTTCGATAATTTCAATAATAATAAATTTGAAATAGTTCCTGTTAATTAATACGTTATACGGTTTCTTGTAATATAATTGCATGGTGTTCCAGACAGAAAAGCAGGGCGGGCGTGCAGGGCGCGCCTGCGCTGACGGCCGCTGTCCCGGTCAAGGGCCCCGACGAGGAGAAGATCAAACAGATCCTCGCCAGGACTGGCTACTCTTTAGATGTGACCACAGGTGAGTGAAGAGTTGCATCTCCATCAATTTTACCAACATAAACGAAGTGAAATTAAAAAATATAGCCTATGTTACGTAGCTTTTAATGACGAAAGATTTTTTGAAATCAGTTCAGTAGTTTTTGAGTTATATTTCCTCTGCATAACCGATTAGTATATAGTATACATAGAACAGTTTGTATGGATGAATGTTTGTTACTACGTATCTAAAGAAGGGTTGGGAATCAATAGATCGTTGATATTTGGCATATAATAATTTTACTGAACACATAGGTTCTAATAATTTTCATTTTTATTCTAGTCTTACGTAATTTACACCTTAAAGTGACTTAAATATTTGTCTCGTATACAATTATACTCGTAAGTATATTGTTTAATTGTATTATTTTAGAGTTTGTAAATATGTTCCAGGTCAACGTAAGTACGGCGGGCCGCCGCCCGGCTGGGAGGGGGGCACGCCCGGCGCCGGCTGCGAGGTGTTCTGCGGCAAGATCCCCAAGGACATGTACGAGGACGAGCTGATCCCCTTGTTTGAGAGGTGCGGCACCATCTGGGACCTGCGCCTCATGATGGACCCCATGACGGGCACCAACCGCGGCTACGCCTTCGTCACCTTCACCACGAGGGAGGCCACGCAGCGCGCAGTGCAAGAGGTTGGCATACTGTACTCTGCATATATCGTACTGTACTCTACACTACACTTGATGTCGCAGTTGTTTTGTCATTCCCTTGCGCTAAGTTACTTGTTACTGCTTACTTGTTGGTTAAGTTACACACTGAATTTCAACAAGTTGGGTAATGATAACTTCGCGCAAGAGAAGTCTGGGTGTTGTGAATGTCTGGAGAGTGGTAAACATTGTTCATGTGCCATTAGCTCCTCTTGCTCATTGTGGCTAATTTCATTTTATATCGAAAATCACAAATGTAAGAATCTGTTCTATTGTCTGATAAGTGCACATTTGGCAAAGTCCGATATTCCGAAAGATTACCACCCTCTTGGATACATTATTGATTTTGTTGCGAAAATTTATTACTCCATTAAGATTGATGTCATCTACTTTCATTATAAAACTACGATTTTATGTGTCTAAAAGTCAAAGTCAGTAATTTCTTTGAGATTTTCAACTTTTCAATTTTTTGTTTAGAATTGAATATGAATATTGAGTAGATGTTATAAATCTTGCTAAAAACGATGTCCTAAGCACATCTATGAGTACGCAATGTTCACGACATTCGCAAACATAATTGGTTCCACCAAATTGTATATCTAAACTATGAAATGACTTTATTTCACTGTATAATTGGTGCATTATAAATCTGAAAACGAAATTCTAATTCAACGTCTACTTTCCAGGTGACTCGCCGAATGTTTAAGTATAAATCCCTTGAACGATAAATGATTCACTGCACAATATAGTTGGCCAATGGTTTGGCCACTTCATTTGTATATTTGCCCAACGATTGGATGAAATCATCACCCAATAAATGAAGATATTAAAAATAATAATATAGTGTAATGATTTGATCCAATGAAGTAGCCAAACACGGGCGTCGCTTGCAAAGCGACCGCGGTACGAGACGACCGCCGGTGGTTTTGCAAGTCCCACAACTTGCCTGTCGAATCTCGTATTCACAGTCACACTTGGGAGAGTTAGTCTTAAGCTTATTTCATTTATAAAGCATGACATTAATATCCCACCGACGGCGGCCATTTGCATCGTCCATCCGCCATCTTTATTCATGTTTATCATTAGTACTTTGAATCGCTGTTAGTTAGCGCCGTGTGCGGACAGTTGTGCATGCCTTAGTGCCTTAGTGACTAGTTAGCGCAGCGCGCTCGCCCACTCGATGCACTCGGCCGCCGTTTTTATATAATCACTCAAATTGTCTAAATGTGCAAACATAACACCTTACAACTGATCTAGCCTCGCTTGTCCTGAGATATCATCCCGTTCTCTACTATTGCACCTCGTTCAATTTTGAGTTGCTTTAATTTTTTTTTGTTACCATCACACTTGTACTCGCTTTTTTTTATTTTCACTTCATCAAACGGTCCACTTACAGGGTTAACTTTCAATTGGCTTCAAAACGTTCTCCGGCTGAGAATTTAATATATCTCAGGCTCTCCTCTTTGCTCCGTACAACACTTTTGGCTTATCATCCAAAGTACAGTTAACTCATCACAATTGGCTCTAACCGTTCATCAGTCACGAGGTCGCGCGGATCATCCCGAGTGGCGCTCTGCCGCTCTGCCGCTCTGCCGCTCTGT